GTGACCGAAACTCCAACACAAACGCAAATTTTATGGTGTTACTAACCACAATATGTGATAACTTGGCTGCAATTTTTGTAAACTAGCCACCTTGTTGTCAAACATGTTGGATCGTGTAAACATGACAGGTTGTTGTTGTTGTAGGTTCGGCTGCTGTGGGAACAAATTGAGTATTCTTTTAAGAGTCATATTGTAATAACTTTAAAGCAAACTGCAACTGCAGTTGTGGTTATTAAAGAAAATAGAGAATATCTAGCAATTTCGGTCAAAGAACGTAAATCCAAAGAACGTAAATCTATAAGATTGTAATTGATTATAATTGTAGCGAGTGTGAACATGAGGAGCGTGCCTTTTTTTTTCATCCAATCACAAAACGTATTTGGGCAAAAGAGAAAGCACGCTCCTGGCAACAACTATTATGCCTGGATTATAATGGAAGTAACGGAACGGAGTGAGCTGTCACTTAATTATCTATTGTATGGGTAATGAATTCAAACGATTATAATGCACTTGAACGCATCGTAAAACGGAAGCATCTAAAACCAATAGATCCTTACGAATTCGCCGCGATTTGTTACGATTCGCCCCGTGCATTATAATCCAGGCATTACAATTATAACGTGTTGTCTCTTCTTATAGATTTACGTTCTTTGGTAAATCTATTCAATCAAAGAACGTAAAGCTATTGGAATAGAAAGCGTCAGAATTATGATGACGCGGTCCATCTGGCAACGCTGGTGGCCCTCACGATTCGTTAAATCTTCGTTCGTGTTCATAACGTTTACGTGTTTCATTCAATGTGGATGTTGGAAAATCGAGTGCAATGTTAAATAAAAAAAATCTTTGTGTCGCAGAGAATTTCGTTAATAATTAAATGTATCGAACTAGTGTGAAAACAATGATTTTTGTAAAATATATAAAGTGTTTCACAACAAACAAAACCTGTTTAAAATTCTTGCTATTTTCGCCAGGTGCAGTTTTATGAATGAATAAGAAAACGCAGCGAATGAGCAACAAAGCAAACTGAAAAATTTAATAGGAAAGAACTCAAAAATACACAAAGAGTTGAAAACCAGTGATTATAGTGAACAAAGTTAAGAAAAACGTACTTTGGACTGTGTAAATACCAGAGGCAAAAAAGAAAAAAACTTGCTTCTTGCGAAAATACATTGCGTACATATTGCAAAATTCACGCCCACGGACGGAAACATATCGATAAGTGCATACAAAAGTATTTGTGAAAATGTCTGGTCAACGTGTCAATGTGAATGCCGCTGAAAAGGATGTGGAGAAGTTTATAAAATTTTTGGTGTTGAAGTCAACTCAAGTGGTTGTTCAGTCGCGCTTAGGTGAAAAAATTCAGACTCCATGTAATCCACTCGCTACGAATAGTGATTGGTTCAACATAGTTATACAGGATCATCCTGATATTTACGCTGAAACGAAGCGTGCTTTAGCACTAGAACCAGGCCAAAGTATATTAAAGCGCTTGCCATTATGTGTGGAAATTTCGCTACGAACTGTAGAAGGAGATCAAATGGTGCTGGAAGTTTGGTCGTTAGATATGCAATTACCTGGATGTCATAAATATTGTAAAGACGACATATGCGAAGTACTCATAAAGAATGCAGAAAACGGAAAGGGAGGCGTTGCAAACGGCACTGGAGCGCCTTTATCAGAGCAGCAAACATTGAAAGCAGCGCACGCCATATACAATCGAATGGGCATATTATTGAAATCTCTAATCTCGTTAACGCGCGCAACTCCTGGATACAAATTATCGCGACGTCAATGTCCAGAAATTTATGGGATTTACTATCGTATATATGTGGATCGGCCACAGCTACATACATTGGGCGAAGGCCATAAAAATGTTAAAATCGGGCAGTTAAACACAATAGTTGGTACCTTAAGCATGTCAGTATCTTATCGTACCAAAATGACGATCACACCCACTGCAGCTGATACACACAATGGCGAATGCAATACAATTATGCTAAAATCTGATCATTTTAGGCGTGCTGATTCTTCGCCAACACAAAACGTGTCATTAAATGGCTTGAAAAGAGGCAACGGGACTAATGGCGAACGAAAAATTGTTGATATTGAAAAGCCATTGCGTCCAGGAGCATTCACTGATGTCGGAAAGCTGCGCCAATGGACTGAAAAAGATTATGTTTTACCAGAAACACCACCTTTCGAATGGTTATTACGACGTCCACGCCACGAGAGTGGAGGGTCTGCTGGTTCAGTAGAGTCATTAAATAGAAAAAGCGACGGTAGCGCAATAGCACCAAACACATATAATGGACAAGAGCAATGTGTGCAAAACAACAACGATGGTACCGGCTGTAGCGCGGACAACAGCACAAAAGCTATAAATAATAACAACGTTATGGCGTTTAAGAGTTTAGAGAATGGGCCAAATGGTATGCAGCCAAAATCTCCAACTGATTCTGCAACGCTGTCTCAGTCGCCTATAAAAAGTCTTCTTATACCTGCCCCCACAACATCGCGTCACAGTACAACGCAAACTCATCAACAATCACGTCGCCCAGATGATGATAGCTTGCTCAAGGAGTTAAATTTTCCTTTTGCCTTACCCAATTCACATGTGAATGACTTGGCGAAATTTTATCGGGATTGTTATCATGCGCCGCCACTACTCGGATTAAACGAAACACAGCCGGAGGCAGCGGTGGAACAATTAGAGGAATTTGAAACATCTTTAGAAGACTACGACGAACTAGTTTCGCAACTAGGATTAAGTACATCATCTTCTACGGGTAGCCGCAGCAGCGGTGGATTGCAAATGAGCAACTAATATCAACAAAATGGGGTAAAAGACCAATGGATACTAGTATAAGTACATTCATATATAAATAATAGATAGTTACATAGAAAAAGTGTAAGCACGAAAGCCGAAGAACTATTCATTAGAATTACGAACAAACGACTAGGCTTGCATTTCTTTAATTTTGCATTATTTATTATTAATTTTTTATGAACATAAGTTTTACATATGTTTATATGCATGTATGTACATATATAATGAGACTTATTTATTAAGTGTTTACATTTAATAAATTCATAATTATTGTTAAATTGAAAATATTAAAACAATTTGTTATGGAAACAAACACTGTGTGCAGAAAACTTTAGCACGATACTTTTGCTCATATCATAAAATGAATATCTTTTACACACGTAAACATGTATGTACGTAGTACACTACATTTATGTGCAAATATATGTGTGTATTTGCGAAATCGGTGTCAAAACATGTCAAAAAGACTGTAAAAATGTATTTGCTTTAAGAAAATTACCACTGCTAACTTCTCTGCACACGGGATTGTTTAGTGCCTTCTCTAACAAATATTTTGCTATGAAAATGTAAATGAAATACTGATATAATTTACCACTATTGTGTTAAAGATGAAGGCATACATATGTAATAATTGACTTTAAATATGTAAAAAATTAAAAAAATCTAACAAAATAAAATAGGTTCAAAAATTAAGATTTTTACAAAATTCTTTGCATGTAAATGGCGAAAGAAGCACTCAATATTTTTGTTTTCTTAAAAAAAAAACGATATGTATCAATCGTGTAGTGTATGCATAATAAATAGCAATTTCATTTAAGTAATTACACTTCAAAGTTCTTTAGACACGCGTATATATGTACATATGCACACACACTTGTATGTACATAAGTATGTAAATGCATCCATGTAATTAAAATCATACATACATACATATACGAAATATATTGAAAAAAGCGGACTCAGTAAATCATGAATTTTGTTTATGGGGCTGTGGACGTTTTAAAAGGTCAAGTAAAGGCAAGTAAATAAGCATACAATTGGCCAGCTTTTGATTTCAGCAAAACTAAAACTATTTTAACAATGCGCTTTCGGATGAACAAAGTTTTAAAAATTTCAGCCCAATAATGATTACTTTAGCACCATTCCACAATATTTTCGGCGGAAGTTTTATGATCCACAACAAAAAATCGCATAGTACATACATAACACCGAACGACAAAACCAAAAAAAATTTCAAAACACACGAAAGAATCGATATAATAAAGCAAAACTGCGATTTTAGTTTTTCACTCCGGTGTCAGGATTTTTTTCAAAGGACTTTGAAATTTTAAACATATGATTAATTCAAAAAATTACTTTAAAATTTCAGTGCAATGTAAAATAACAATATGGGTACCAAATGAGAGAGAAAGTTTTGTAGAATTTAAAAACAATTAAGTTCTTTGGTTTACCAGGACGAATAGGTGTTGAAAGGGCGCATTTAATACATTTAATCTTTTTAAGTTAATTAAGTTTGTAGGACGAAAATCGATGATGACGGCGTGTGTACATATATTAGTCCTCAAACAATATTTTTTTTTCAAAAATAAATTTAGCAAATTTTCAAGGATATTTAAGGGCACATTTTTTAAAGTTTATTTTCCAAAAAAGTTATTCTGTTATAATTCTACAGAATTTTTTCTTTTGTATGATACCGTTATTGTTTCTACATTGCACAGAATTTTTAAAATAATTTTTTGAAATAATCATATATTTTAAATTTCAAAGTCCTTTAAAAAATCCTGACGCCAAAGAGAAAAAGTATGTACGCAGTTTTACTATAATTTACGCATATTTTTGCGAATATATACATTTTTTTGTGTGTAAAATTTACTGTCGCATTGTAATACATATGCATGTATTATATATGGATGTACAGTGGTGGAAACTTTTTACTTTGACCAGTTTTGGCTATTTTACTTTGTT